GAGTGCCTTAACTATGTCAAGAGGTTGGTGGCTATCCTGGAAAGGAAGGTGAAGGTCCTACACAACAAGGAGATACCTTTGGTAAAGGTACGGTGGCAGCATCGGAGAGGCTCCGAGTGGACCTGGGAGTCGGAGGCTGAGATGTGGGAGCATTATCCTGAGTTATTCGCCACAACCGACTTCGAGGACGAAATCTAGATCAATTGGGGGAGAATTGTAACATCCCGATGATAAGGTACTTCTAATTTGACCCTATAATTTAATTATATTGCATTCTCGGTCCTTAAGTGTAAGGAAGTATGAAAAAGGGCCCATTGTGGCAATTTGGTAAAATTGGGATTGAATGAGTACGCCGTGCGTACGTGTGTATATGCTAAGCGTACTAAGGCGCGCCTTAGTACGCTGGGCGTACACTTAGTATGCGGGGTGTACGTAGTTGGCATGCAAACCCTAATTTTAGGGTCTTGGCTTATATTTAAACATATTTATGGACATAAACCCTCTTCTTACCCAGCCTCTTTCAGAGATTTCGTACCTGAAGCAACCCTAGAGCAAGATAGAGCTAATTGTGAGCCTTTAAGAGAGTTTGAAATGGGTTTGAAGAAGGAAGAAGGTGGTGTGAAGACCTTGGAGTGGAGTGCATTGTAGATCTGGGATTTCTAGCTTGTTTGCAACCTCATAAAGGTATAAAGCTTGCATCATTACCACTCCATCTTGTAGATCTAGGTTTTTGCTCTTTAAAGTCTCTTTTGGTCCCAAAATGATGATTCTTGAACAAAGCATGTTCTTGACCAATTAAGTCATCCATTCAGACCTTTGGAAGGGTCTTGAGTCATAAAAATGGGTTCCAAATGGTTAGTTTTGCTCCATGTATCATTTAGATTTTAGAATGTCTTAATGGATTAATACCTTGAGTTAAGCACTTATCGGTCATGCTAAGTCATAAGGTTGGAGACTTTTATGACTCCTAAGAGTATTTTAGCCATGGATCTAGAAAATGGACGTAAGAGCTTTAGCCATTAAGCTCTTAATGGATGTGTTTTGGACTTCTGGGAGTACGCCCCGTGTACTCGGAGTACGCCATGCGTACGAGGTCAACCACCCCGATGGTGGTCAACGTGTGTGGACGCGAGTACGCCCAACGTACGTTCGGTGTACGCCCCACGTACTCACTCTGAGTCAATCCGACTGAGTTGACTCGGTTGGGTTGGCTCGGTTGGGTTGGCTCGGTTGACTAGTTGGTTTGACCAGTTTGACTTTGACTTTGACCAAGTTTGACTTTAAGGATATTTTGGGTATTTTGAGATTTTGACTGAGATTGGTCATTTGGTTGGAATAGGTGTTGATTAGAGCTGAGATTCAGAGTCGAGACCTCATCAACTTTTGTCCAGTTTACGAGGTGAGTTTTCCTCACTATACTCATGGGTATAAGGCACCAAGGTCGGCTCATTGGATTAGATACCCTATTTTGTGATAGTATGGTATTGTGATGTAGTGATCTGTTAGATCGGTATCCTGGTATATAGGATGATGCTATGCTTAGTGATCTATAAGATCTGTCTGATTGACTGGTTATCTGTCTGGTTATCTGGTTATCTGTATGTTTATATGTCGACATGTAGTGTGTGGTTGGGTTTAGGCGGACCATTGTAGACTGAAGGCCAAGAGACCCAGGGCGTCCCGGATAGACTGAAGGCCCGAGAGGCGTACCAATCAAGCCGCAGGCTCAGAGAACGGTCCAGATAGGCTGAAGGCCCGGTGAGGCGTTCCAGTCATGCTGAAGGTTCTGTGAGCGTTCCAGAAATTCTGTAAGCCGGTGCGGCGTTCCAGTCAGACTGGAGGCTCTGTATGCATGATGTTTGTTATTATGTTGTGTGGTGGTACTTTGGGGGAACTCACTAAGCGTCGGCTTACAGTTTTGGGTTATGTTTCAGGTACTTCAGATGACCGCGGGAAGGCGAATGCGTGTCCGTACACATCCTCTTGTTTATGACTTATGAATTTGGGAGACTTTGATGTTTGAGAAAATATTTTGAAACTATGATTTGTAAACAATTTGTGAATTTGGGTTGATTTTAAAAGTTTAAATTTAGCATGATTTTTATGATGTTACAAAATCGGTCAAATACATAACTATGTAGCTATAATGGGTAAAAGTTAAAGTAAATTTCCCCAATTGGCAGCCAGAGTAAAGTAAGTTGCTATTCTATACAATTTTTTGCTTTTTTACATTTTTTTTATTTTATAAATAACCGATGTACTAAATCTGAGATTTTATTATAGGTCATCATCCAAGGGTTTAAGAGGTATAAAAAGTTATAGCCGCTTATAGATTTGCCAATGTAAGTGGACATCTATTCATATGATTTTTTATGTAACTTAAGTACTATGATGAGCCAATTGAAATGCATTTTAAATGTATGAATTGTATTGATTTGTATTTTAGTTACTTTTATGAAATACATTGAATAAATGCAAAGTACAATGCAATAACAGACAAGGTTTATTGTCATTAGTTTTGTGATTTGAATAAGAATTTTATTATAGATTTAATGTATTGGTTTTTTTCTATTTTTTGAATTTTAGGCACAAAAAATATGTGGCTGTTTTAAAATTTTCACTCATTTTAGTGGCAGAATACCGACGGAAATGTGTGCAGTCAGTAATTCGTTGGCAATAAAGACAAAGTTGGTCAAACATCCCCTCGTCGCTAGTTCGTAGGTAATCCGTCGGTAATTTACCAACGGAAACATGTTGTCGGTATTCGGTTGTTATTCCTTTGCAATTTCGTCGGTTTAATTTACCCATGAGCGATATCCCGACGTTTTCGTCTGCAATCTGTCGGTATCGGCTTGTTCCGACAAATACCGACGGATATGGTTGTCCATATTTCATGATTTTCTAATAGTGCAAACATTTAGTTCTAGAATTGGTTCTTTAACTGCTTTCTGGCGATGTATATTCCTCCTGGAGATTGTAAGTCGGATCTGTAAGAGGGCTATGTGAAGGCAGTTCCTATGGAGCAACGGTCGGTGAAAAGAAGAGAACATGTGGGGTTATCTTTGTTTGTAATTACTTTTAAATAGGAAATAGATTGTAATTAATTTTATTATATTTAGTAAATACTTTTTAAACTACATGTATTTGGTAAACACTTTTAGTAATACTATGGTGAGGTTAAAAACTCGTATATTGTGGGGTAGTTTGTCGTTAAACCGTCAGTAATTAAGTAGGGCTTTTTAAGGTTTGATGTTTTGTCGGAAAATGGTCTGTATTTTTCGACATCTTTTTCGGAAATTTTTCCTACGAAATTAGTCTTCTTTTTGTATTTGTGTACCTGAACATTCACAAAGGTAACTAGTCCTAAAGAGTTGGGTGGTTTAGGTGTTGGTACCATACGAGCTTTGAACATAACAATATTAGTCAAAGTGGTGGTGGAGACTGTGGAATGATTCATCAGCTCTATGGAGTAAGATCATACGGGGACTTCATAACTTATCGAACAAGCCTAAAGACTATCTTTCTAAGAAATCTCTTAGTGGTGTATGGAACAACATAGCAGGAGCAAAGAATGACTTGGAATCTATAGGAATGAATATCAATGATGTATTTAGACAACGTGTCAAATCTGGTGACAACACTCAATTTTGGAGCGATAAGTGGATCGGACCTCTCGAATTAAAAAAGGTATATCCAGCTCTTTATGATATTGAGTCTCAAAAGAGATGTAAGGTGAAGGACAGAATCAATGGAAACGGGGATATCAGTTGGTGCTGGAAGACCAACCCATCCAAGTACGGGTTGCAGAACCACCTATTGAGTTTAGTCCAGAAGATTGAATCTGTTAGGTTGCACCCTGGTGCGGATGATACTCATTGCTTAATTGCTCCTGATGGTATCTATCGAGTAGCGGCCCTCAGGCATTTAATTGACCACAACCATATCAATAATCCCTCTCATGGTATGATTAGTCAAGTTAATCCCAATAAAGGTGGTGGGTTTCATCTGGAGAGCTGTGCAAGGCCGTATACCTTGTGCTATGGAACTTATTCACAGGAACATTCCAATTGATTTCATGTATTGCGTTTTTTTGTGTAAACCAGCAGGAGAATGCAGATCACATACTCATCAAATGTCCGTTTGCGTGTTTGGTTCGAGAAAAAATTCTCAGTTGGTGCGGGGTTAAGGATATGGCAGTAAACACAGTGGGGGAGCTCATTGAGTTTACATACAAATGGGGAAACTGCTCCAATCACAGGAAAAGATTCTCTGCAATATGTTATGGGATGCTATGGGTTATTTGGAGATCTCGGAATAATAGAGTATTTCAACGATTGGCATGTTATCCTAATCAAGCGGTCGAGAACATTAAGTCCTTAGTTTATCTTTGGATCAAATGTAGGGGTAAAAAAGGTATTTGTAGTTGGGATAATTGGAATGTATCCCCTTTTTCTATTTCTTGATTTGTATTTGTTGTAACTCTTTGGACCTCGTTTAGTTTCTTGCTAGCGGGGTCTTCTCTATAAAATATCGGCCGTTTCCAAAAAAAATGAATGAACATATATACCTCTCTTTGTATTCGTTCATTTAACTAGCGAAAATAAAATTATTTCCATTCATTTATTTGATAAGAAAACGAACTTTATCGGAATATATATATATATATATATATATATATATATATATATATATATATATATATATATATATGTGTGTGTGTGTGTGTGAGAGAGAGAGAGAGAGAGAGAGAGAGAGAGAGAGAGAGAGAGAGAGAGAGAGAGAGAGAGAGAGAGAGAGAGAGAGAGAGAGATGATGATGATGATGATGATGATGATGATGAAAATAGTAGCTTTCTTTTTACAATTTGATCATCTATATTCGGCAAAAAATATTCAAAATACAATTCGATCATCAAACATTTGATATATAAATTAACATCTAGAAAATATTCTTTGACCAAGAGATGTTAAATCGAATTCTCTATACATGGCCCATCACATTCACGAGCACTCGATGAGCAATACTTCTAAGCTCTTGATCTCCGAACTACAAATTGTAAAGCATTATAAATCAGTTTCAACATTTTTATGTTGTTTCAACATTTTTATGTTAAATGAATAGATATTAACTTCTATTGTTATACTGCTTTAATAAACAAATAACAAGTTGAATGGTTTAAAATTCATCTAATTATACGTTTAAAGTGTTTACAAATGTCTACTTACACAAGCATAGTTGAGATACGCGGCATTTTTCAAGTTGTCAGGAAGCATCACAACCACTGCATTAATTGAGCACCATGAGTTAGGATGATAATATACAAATAGCTTCGTGAGATAAAAATTTACCTGAAAAGTCTAGATACTTCAACCAACTGCATGTAGCAGTTTAAGATCTGCTTCAACAATTCTGAATTAGGTTGGTTTCTCCCAAACCGGTCTACAGTTTTTCTCAAGACCACAGCTACTCCATAAAACCGGTTCGGGAACATACCAATGTATTGTTGCCCATCTTTTGACATAAGAATTTGAGTAACTACAAACGCTGCCCCCTGCAAATTGAATTAAATCGATATACATGGTCAAGATGATGAAGTAACTATAAGAATATGATTGTAGTGAAAGTGTGACATTACCTTTTTGGCGAGTTCACTGCCTACATCAATGCAGCGAAGGCATATAGGAAATGTTTGGGTTTCAAGAAGAAACCGTATTATTTCGGGTGTGTTCGTATCTTCCACTTGGACGAGTCTCACAATGACACCTAAGGAGCAAATTCTTAATTCCTCTAAATGTCTGATTCGTTCCACAGTAATATCGATGTAACGGTATACATGAAGGGGAAGGTTGGCTGCAAATTAAGTGTAAGATTCTATAACCTTATTGATATGTTACTAAAAATGTCAAACAATAATAGCTAGAGGAAATGAAAAGTACCTCTCACTACCTCCATTTTTGTGCTAGGATGGTCAGCCATCCACTGTATATAGCCGAAATTAAAAAGAAACAGTTAGGGGAAAAAAACATGAAATCTACTATATAGCGGAATTAATAAAGAAAAGTTATGTATAAATATTATGAGGGACCCGAAGTAAAGTTATTGCTTGTGAAACTCTTTTGGCTCCTTCATAATCAAGGGGAGGGGGTGATGATACTAAATAGTAGCCGGAACAAATTTCCGGCATGCATGCAATGATGATCAATAATATGATAAAGATATCATTAATACAATTAGTAGGGTGTTGTCTACGGATTATAACTAAAAGATACTATCAAAACATATTAGTGTTACCCAACACGATTCATATAATGTGTACAACTGTTCATTTATGTGACTTATATGCTTTATATCCATGTCACTTCTGTTGGAGAAAGGCATTGAAACATGAAGAGAGAATGAGTGCAGTCAAAACAGAATTTTTATTAATCACAATATCGACATTAATACAATTTACATATTTGAAGGTATTTATACACACACATACCAAAAGATGCAACCCTTTTACAACCATTGCACCCCTTCACTTTGATGGTTAATAACTTCCATATAACTAACTAACTTTCCAGAAATAACTAACTTATAATAACTAATTTTAACTAAGATTACCTACTACAACATAATTACCAAAATAACCCTAAGTCTAGATTACCTTTCAACACTCCCCCTTAATCTAGACTTGATTCACTCTTGGCCATTTTTATTTTCCTTGCAGATTTGATGATTCCAACAGCACCCTCACGGATATAACCAAACTTTTGTTACTGTTTCTTCCATGCTTTTTACTGGACAACACTTTAACACCTTTTGTCTTTTGGTCCTTGTGGCTTTATTTATTTATTTATTTGAATATAGTACAAATATAGGGCCTTGGCATGCATGCAATGATGATCAATAATATGATAAAGATATCATTAATACAATTAGTAGGGTGTTGTCTATGGATTATAACTAAAAGATACTATCAAAACATATTAGTGTTACCCAACACGATTCATATAATGTGTACAACTGTTCATTTATTTGACTTATATGCTTTATATCCATGTCACTCCTGTTGGAGAAAGGCAATGAAACATGAAGAGAGAATGAGTGCAGTCAAAACAGAATTTTTATTAATCACAATATTAACGACATTAATACAATTTACATGTTTGAAGGTATTTATACACACACATACCAACAGATGCAACCCTTTTACAACCATTGCACCCCTTCACTTTAATGGTTAATAACTTCCATATAACTAACTAACTTTCCAGAAATAACTAACTTATAATAACTAATTTTAACTAAGATTAACTACTACAACATAATTACCAAAATAACCCTAAGTCTAGATTAACTTTCAACACTCCCCCTTAATCTAGACTTGATTCACTCTTGGCCATTTTTATTTTCCTTGCAGTAGATTTGATGATTCCAACAGCACCCTCACGGAAATAACCAAACTTCTGTTACTGTTTCTTCCATGCTTTTTACTGGACAACACTTTAACACCTTTAGCAAATAGTAGCCGGAACAAATTTTCGGCATGCATGCAATGATGATCAATAATATGATAAAGATATCATTAATACAATTAGTAGGGTGTTGTCTATGGATTATAACTAAAAGATACTATCAAAACATATTAGTGTTACCCAACACGATTCATATAATGTGTACAACTGTTCATTTATTTGACTTATATGCTTTATATCCATGTCACTCCTGTTGGAGAAAGGCATTGAAACATGAAGAGAGAATGAGTGCAGTCAAAACAGAATTTTTATTAATCACAATATCAACGACATTAATACAATTTACATGTTTGAAGGTATTTATACACACACATACCAACAGATGCAACCCTTTTACAACCATTGCACCCCTTCACTTTAATGGTTAATAACTTCCATATAACTAACTAACTTTCCAGAAATAACTAACTTATAATAACTAATTTTAACTAAGATTAACTACTACAACATAATTACCAAAATAACCCTAAGTCTATATTAACTTTCAACACTCCCCCTTAATCTAGACTTGATTCACTCTTGGCCATTTTAATTTTCCTTGCAGTAGATTTGATGATTCCAACAGCACCCTCACGGAAATAACCAAACTTCTGTTACTGTTTCTTCCATGCTTTTTACTGGACAACACTTTAACACCTTTAGCAAATAGTAGCCAGAACAAATTTTCGGCATGCATGCAATGATGATCAATAATATGATAAAGATATCATTAATACAATTAGTAGGGTGTTGTCTATGGATTATAACTAAAAGATACTATCAAAACATATTAGTGTTACCCAACACGATTCATATAATGTGTATAACTGTTCATTTATGTGACTTATATGCTTTATATACATGTCACTCTTGTTGGAGAAAGGCATTGAAACATGAAGAGAGAATGAGTGCAGTCAAAACAGAATTTTTATTAATCACAATATCAACGACATTAATACAATTTACATGTTTGAAGGTATTTATACACACACATACCAACAGATGCAACCCTTTTACAACCATTGCACCCCTTCACTTTGATGGTTAATAACTTCCATATAACTAACTAACTTTCCAGAAATAACTAACTTATAATAACTAATTTTAACTAAGATTAACTACTACAACATAATTACCAAAATAACCCTAAGTCTAGATTAACTTTTAACACTCCCCCTTAATCTAGACTTGATTCACTCTTGGCCATTTTTATTTTCCTTGCAGTAGATTTGATGATTCCAACAGCACCCTCATGGAAATAACCAAACTTTTGTTACTGTTTCTTCCATGCTTTTTACTGGACAACACTTTAACACCTTTTGTCCTTTGGTCCTTGTGGCTTTATTTATTTATTTATTTGATTATAGTACAAATATAGGGCCTTGGCGCCGGTGGCTTATGATTTATGAACATGCCTCCTTTGTTTGACTATACACGAAATTGGATTGAAAAAATCCATAACCAAGTACATGCTCCATATCTTTTGTGTCCTTTATTGATAATCTTTCAGACAAACACCATCCGATAACGTGTCCCTCTACAGATTTCTCTAAAATATTACTACCTTCATTAGGATTCCTTACACTCATCATTTTCTTCAACCATTCGATCACCTCTTTTCGTCAATGACATATATTTTCCATCTTTCATTTATGTTTTCCTCTCTTGATGCCACCAAACCTTCATCAATCTTTGGGTCCTTTTCAGAACCATCCAACAACAACATCATCACAAACCCAGAATCTTTTCATCTAGATCAAACACACAAACAACTTGTAGGTGATTAGACTTTATCTTCTTGAATTCTCCTTTCCTCCACACATATTCATACCAAGATCTTTTCACTTGGCATGCATCATACACCACACATGAACAAAAATCCTTTCATCAATCTTTTGTTCCTTTACATAACTATCTATCATCATCATCATCAACAACAACCCTAGAATCTTTTCATCTGGATCGGAACTATTTTGACTTCAAACGCACATATGATCAATCCGGCACAGGGAAAGAAGATGGTGTCATCGGTCCCATCATCAGGGGTAGAAACAACAAGCATCCCACCACCGGTCCTATACCACAACCATATTCCATCTTCTACGTCATCCTCTTCTTCTTCAATGCTATCTCCATTTTCTTCATCTTTCATTCTTGAACCAAAGGCTCCGATACCACTATGTTGGAGAAAGGCATTGAAACATGAAGAAAGAATGAGTGCAGTCAAAACAGAATTTTTATTAATCACAATATCAAAGGCATTAGCACAATGTACATGTTTGAAGGTATTTCTACACACACATATAATAGGTTCAAGATCCTAACCCGAAGGTAGGAACCTCAACCAGACCACCTGTGGTTCGAGAAACAGGGAATTCTCCAGCAAATCGTCTTAGACTTTTATTCCGCATAAAACCTAAGTAATCTATAGAACATTAATTATATAGTCTTGCTAATCCTAATCATAAACCAAAACAAGATCCTAGAAAATAGGAATTCTAAACTAAATAAAAAACTAATATTCTAATTAAAAGGAAAGCTAAATAAAAGGAAACATTTTTAAACTCTCTCTCTTGAATCTTGATGCTTATCCCTTCATTGATAGACCTGACCAAAACGACCAACATGGGTCGTATCATTACTCCCCTCCCAAAAACGCACCTTGTCCTCAAGGTGGAACTCAGGAAAACGCATGTTCATATCAACCAGATTCTCCCAGGTGGCTTCGTACATATGCAAATCCTTCCAATAAATCAAAACCTCACGACCCATGGCCCCATCTCGAACACCTTCCACCTGTTCAGGTTGCATCAACACCTCCATGTCATCAGTCAAAGTAGCAGGTAGTTGTGGGTTTGCTTCCCAGTTACCTACAGCCTTGCGCAGTTGTGAGACATGGAACACATTGTGGATACGAGCGTAGGGGGAAGCTGCAATTTATTCGCCACCGGACTAATTCGAGCTATTATTTCAAAAGGTCCAAAATAGCGGGCCGCCAGCTTTTCATTCACACGCCTTGCCACAGATTGTTGTCGATATGGTTGCAATTTTAAAAGACTCGCTCCCCGACTTTGAATTCCACCTCCTTACGATGCTTATCAGCCTGATTTTTCATTAGTTGTTGAGCCTTTAATAAATCACCACGCAATTGCAACAAAACTCGATCCCTCTCCTGAAGGTACTGATCAATAGTACTAACCGGCGTCCTTTGAGTCCCATAATGCAACAAATGAGGTGGATCGCGACCATACAAGACTCGCAAAGGAGTAGTGCGAGCAGAAATATGAAAAGTGGTGTTATACCAATATTGTGCCCATAACAGCCAACGAACCCATTTTTTTGGCGAATTTGAAAGGAAACAACGGAGATAATGTTGAATCTATATGCCCAAGAATCATGATTGAGTGATATTGCTAATAATATATGATCCTATAGGGTCACACATTTATCAAGTTGGCACTTATTGAATATTTATTAAGTATTTGATATTAATAAATAATTCAACTCTTGTATTTAATTAGAGAATAATTATTGTTTTATGAAAATAATAATGAAAGAAAGAACAAACTAGTTATTATATGATATGGTATCATATAATAAGTCATGTACAAAGTTTTGGACCTTTTGGTTAACCATAGATAAGTTAAGAACTTACTCTACCATGGTTAAAAGAGTTGGAGACAATTTTTGTCTTCATTCCCACATTTGTCCATTGTTACTTTATGTTTTATAATACTTTAGAATATTATAATCCATGCCTTGTACCCTTTGAATTTTTTCTTTATAATACTTTAGAGTATTATAATCAAAAGGTGTTTCTTTACATGGTGTATATAAGAAGAGTCTAGGAGGTTCATTTTGTCTAGTTCTTTTGTTCATCTTCTTCTCCCTTTTCTCTCCCAAAACCGTGAGCACGAAGAGAGACCTCTTTCTCCATCTTTTGAAGATGGTGCTTGCATTTTGGTGTTCACTTTGTGTATCCCTTTAGTGTTTAATTGTTTAAGCACTTAAGGCTTGAATATCAAAGTCATACAAGAAGGAAACTAGCATTTCATGGTGCCTTACTCTTGATGGTGGATACTTGTAGAGATGATCATGCTCTTTGATATTTACATCTTCATCAACATCCCAAAACCCAGTGGGTTCAAAGGCTTCAAAGGTTATCTCTAAAACATCCTATGGTTGGTTTTATTTCATTCTAACCTCTATAAATGGATCCATGATGGTTCGGTTTTGTTATGAACTAAAAATAAACTTGTTATTTTTAAAGTCTTCCGTTGCCCGTTTTTGTGAAAAACAAACTTTTATTTCGTATCAAAACCCAACAGATAAGTCTCTAAACAGCGATTAACAACCTCAGTCTGCCCGTCTGTTTGCAGGTGGTAGGTCGTGCTTCTTTTTGACTGAGTACCTGCAACCGAAATAGCTCCTTCCAAAATAAACTTAGGAAGACCTTATCTCGATCAGACACGATAGACTTTGGAATCCCATGTAAGCGCACGACCTCTCGGAGGAAAACAGTAGCAACCGTTAAGGCAGTATAGGGATGCTTTAACGGAACAAAATATGTGTATTTACTTAGGCGATCAACAACTACAAAAATGATTGTAAACCCATCCGACTTTGGCAAACGATCGATGAAGTCCATAGTAACTTCAGACCATACCTTATTGGCTAACTCTAGGGGTTGTTATAACCCGCTAGGTGCCATGGTAGAATACTTTTGTCGTTAACAAACATCACACTCTGTAACCATTTTTGCAATCTCGCGCATCATTCCCACCCAAAAAACCTCCCAAACCATGCGTTGATACGTCTTTTGCACTCCCGAATGCCCCCCTACAACTTCATGATGAAATTCAAAAAATAATTTGGAATCCAGCTTGACTGGCGATTAAGAACCAATCGACCCTTATACAACAAACGGTTGTTTTTAATAGAATAACCCAATGGTCCCTGTTGCCCAGATGCAACCTTTTTACAACCATTGCACCCCTTCAAGTTACGTAAGAGACTACCATTAACCCTATTTTCCGGATGAAAAAACGCGCTTATCGATTAAATTACTTAAGAAATTGGAAAAGAAGACAATAATGTAGACTCCATGCAAAAATTACTTAAAGAAGTTTGAAAAAAGTTCTGATGGAGAGTGGAGACTCGATCCACAAGAGAATTAATTAAGAACAACAATAAACGTGGAGTGATGGAGATGGATCGCATTAAAACTTACCTCGTTCAGTAGCTGCTCAAGAGCGTCTCTCTTGCGCAGAGGGACGTTGAGCATCTTCAGGTGTTGCATTATCTCTGATAATTCTGATCGGGCGGTGGAAGACGATGCTCCGTCGCTACCATCGCCGGAAAATAATGTTTCCGGCAAGTTTTCCATTTTGCGTGAGTATAACTCCCTTTCTCTCTCTCTAGAATCTTGAACCCTCTCTCTAATCTTGAATCTGTCAGTGAGTCTTGAAGAGATCGACTATTTGTTATTGACTAGTTATAGAGTTGCTATTAACCGTTGGTCGTTAGGGCTTTGGGAATTCGGATTAAATATTTTGTCATAACCGTCTCCATTCGCGGAGTTTTTTTTAATGGCACACATATGACATCTAATTACTTCCTATCAATATTTTAATACATATTAAAATAGATGAATTAACGGTCAATTTTATTTTCACATTTTATTTAAATATTTTTTTATTAGCCCTTTTATTTTATAAATGTTCCAAACTATGGATTTTAAATTATATGTCTCTAGCCCTTTAATTTTTGTTATATATATATATATATATATATATATATATATATATATATATATATATATATATAGATGCACAGCGAAATTAGATTCACCTTCAAAAACCGATTCGATTCGAAAATTGGATTTGGTCAAAACCGATTCGATTCGAAAATTGGATTTGGTCAAAACCGATTTTGAACCAACTAGATCGGATTAAACCGGAGACCGGAGCCAAACTGGTTTGGCATTTTAGACAAGAAAATGGATTCGACCCCGGATCAGGAACTGGATTTTGTCTAAACCGCATTGTTGATGACGTCATTGAAACCGGATCGGATTGGATCGGATTCGGGTTTTGTGCTTCTCTACACATGTGTATTATTTTTTTTACTCCTGTTTATTTAAATATTATACGAATAGTTTTTAGATATTAATTGAAGTATCACCGATCATGATATATATATATATATATATATATATATATATATATATATATATATATATATATATATATATATATATATATATATAAAAGTTAATTTGATAACTTAAAAAATTGCAAGAACCAGAGAACTTTTAGTTCGCTTATCATTTTTCAAAATCAAAACAATCATAGGCCTCTTAGAGCCGCGTCTAAAAGAGATCCATGTTCTAATAAAATATTTCACATACTTTTTTTTGGAAATGTAAATATATACACATCTAAATGTGCATGCATGCACATTTATATTTTCTGTGTTTTTTAGATGTTTTCAAGTTGCAATTCTCTTAAACGTCGATATTAAAGTTTCATTTTTGCACTGGTTTTGAAAAATTTTGAAAAAAAAAACACTAAATGATATATATATATATATATATATATATATATATATATATATATATATATATATATATATATATATACACACTAGTCGTTTACCCGCGCTACCCGCGCTAAGCATCGGGCGGCAAAGAGTTTCTTTCGGAAGATAGTTTTAATGTGATGATTTCCTTTAGACGTGGGCTATTCATTGCGGCCTTTTGGTAGACTATTTTGTGTCGAATAGTTCATTTCAACGGATAGTTTCTTGCTAGGTGCATAGTCATACAATACGACAGAAGTTGAGTCTACATTTGGAATTTCATCTAATAGTTCATACTTGATTTTACAATATATAAATAACAACAATCTACAATCATGTAGTTTTGTATATTTATAACATGTCCAATATAAACTACACCAATCTGCAATCATGTTGCTTCATCTGCTAGCCCTGCATTAAACATCAAATGAGCATCTAAGATACATATTTGAAGAAATTGTAAAATAATAAGTTGTTGATTGTACCTTGTTAATCACATAAAACTTCTTTGTACACAACGTTTGATGTGTAGATTCCATCATTATCAAACGTTTTTTCCGGCTTTACTAATACCTTGGTATTGACACGTGATATTCCTCTTGACAACGCCACATAAAGTTGGCCATGTAAGAATACCGATTCTGGCAGATAAACACCTACATTTGGAATTGTTTGTCCTTGAGCTTTATTGATTGTCATAGAGAAACTAAGTTGAATTGGAAACTGCTTTCTCTTTAGTTTGAATGGGAACATCTCATCGTCAGACGGGCATAGAGGAATTCTTGATAAAAACACTCTTTTTCCAGCATGTTGACCAACAGTTATCTCTGCATCAATGACATTTTGTTGGAAAGTTCGACATATCAATCTGGTGTCATTACATAACCCATTTGAAGGATCGATATTTCGCAAAAGTATTACTAGGCACCCAGTTTTTAACCGAAGATAATGACGGGGTACACCATTAACATTTAGCGAGTTCAAATATTCCATCGGATATAAGTTATTTTTGTCATCTTCCGCTTCATCAAAACTGTAGTAAACTTATTTCTCGCCAGAAAATCGTTCGATCAACTTATTATTAATCTCATCAACACTTTCATTTTTAGTTGACAATATCGCCCTTGAAATGATAAATTTTGAATCGGCGCCGTTGGATTGAAAAGAAGGAAATATTGCATCAATAAGAGCGTCCACTGAATTAGTTTTATCAGTGTATGGAATGGACATGTTATCAGGTATACGAATAAAGGACTCGTCCAATGTTTCCTCCTTTCCATCACCGACTCGTAATAAAAAATCAGAAAACCATGGGTCATTTACCGCTCTCATGTTGATATTTAATCGAAGCCTTTTAACTGAAGCCCATAGAGGTGACATTCGTAAGCTAAAGTCCACAATTTGTGCTCGAGTGCCACGTCTCACGACCGGAAACACTTGTCTAAAGTCACCTCCCATAACCATTATCTTTCCACCGAAAGGGAGCTTCTCATCTGTGATGTCTTGCATTGTCCGATCAACTGCCTCTTAGCCATTGCAGCTTCATCCCATATGATTACCTTTGCCTCGCGAAGTAGCTGAGCCTTCCCGCTTTGTTTAGTGATCTTGCACATCGAGTTATTATCAAGATTGAGGGGAATTCCAAATCGTGAATGAGTTGTTCTCCCTCCTGGCATGTTGTTAGCCGTAACACCTGACGTGTCAGTTGCAAGTGCAATAAGACCACGGGCACGAATATTGGCCAACAAATCTTTGTACAAAAATGTATTTACAGTTCCACCGGGACCATCTATGAAGAACACACCCGGAATATTTTCATCCACATGCCTCATTATCTCATCATATGTAAACTTTTGGTCTGGATTGAGAGAGTCCCGTGCATGTAAATGTTCATTTTCCACATTTATAGAGTATTCTTCTTGCACCTCACGATAGCCTCTTGATTGTAAATCGATGTGTGCACTGACATTTGGAAGGTCGTAATCACTAAGCTTTTTACTCATAGATTCTAGGAAGACTCTAATGTCGATGAGGACCATATTTTGCACTCGTTCGACACGTCGATATTGTTTCCTATAATCTTCAGAAAGAGAATCATAGTGGTCGTCCCATAACTTGCGAACATTTCCTGGTTCACAAAAAATCAGCATCGTCGCAAATAACCTTCTAAGTGCGCTGGGAAATTGAAATAAGGAAGCCTTTACAAGACATTGTGATAAATTATCATCGGTCTCTATTAAACCTCTTTCAAGAGCTGCTTTTCGAAATGTAGGGTGTAATACACCATTGGCTGTGTATAAATCTTCAAAGCAGGTAGGCCTAGTAATATGACATAAAAGCAGGCGTAGATAGTATCTCTCTCCTTCAGCTGGATTAGCATAAACAAGTCGACCAATCATTGATTTACGTTCCCTGGTCCTCCAACAATGGTTGCTCCGATTCCATGTAAAATGTTTGGGAAAATCCTTATACAAATATTTTCTCGCATTGGAATATTCTTTATTCTTCTTGAAAAATGCCGTCAACATTAAATTTTTTCCTTTCTCCCTATCAACAATGTCTTCCATTCTGTCACCGTCTTTGAACCTAACCAACTGTTGATTCGGGAGATGTATTTGCAAGGCCATCACACAAGGGTGGATTTTTGAAAGAGGAAAGCTAAAAACTCGCCATAATGCCTCGGGAGGGGATACATAACGTGCATCTTGAAACTTTCGTATCTCATTAATAACAATATTTTCTTGGTCTTTATCAATATGGATAACTTGTTTGTCATGGCCCTTATAAACATATTTGAAGAGGTACTTCACAGACTTTATACTCGAACAAACCTCAACATTGATATGACAATTAAACATCATTAACAACTTTGGGTTGTATGGAGCCACCCATCTGTTATCCAATGTTGTATTTCTTACAGTCACCTCAATTCCATTATTTCTCCTTCTATATAATGGATATGATTCCTCTCCTTGTGATATCTTTTCATTGATTTGCCTAGGATATCTGAAACGACATATTTTTGGCACACCCTGCATATATGGACTTTTTTCTCGTAAGCTGCCACAAGGACCGTGCATCATGTGACTTTTGACAAGATCATGCATTTCAGGAAACCTTATTAGGTCGGAAATTTCTGAAGGGTTTTGAGCATTCTAACACTCCTATGGTGTACATGCAACCCTATAAACCTTGGATCTATGTTTTCTCTATTATACATGCAAATATTCAATATTCCAAGGTTTTATCCTAACTAGCATATTATGAAGCAATTATACTACAAAAGTCTAGTTAGATGACATACCTTTTGATGGAGCTTGAAGTCTTGAACCTTTAAGAGCTTAGTGCCTCAAGTGTTGGACCTCAAATGGTTCACACAACACTAAGAACCCTTGGAATAACTAGAGAATAAGGATACTTAGGTTCACACTTATGAAATCGGTTTGCCCTCTTTGTGTACACACACACTAGTGCCTCACACTCAACCCATTTCATGAACCATAGACCTCTTTATAAAGTGTGGAGGATTAGGGTTACATTCATTGTGACAACCAGAAACTTTTATCCTGTGCAATCGATCTTTATAGCAATATTAAACTCGATTTTATCATCTTTTAACGCTGTTTAAGAGTTAGTTTAAGTGTTCTAAGCTTGAGTACAGTTGGGAATGAGATTAGGAATGAGTCAACATGTCGTTTAGAAGCAAAATCGGGCCATACACCCTCATGAGAGGTGTGTACGGCCACACACACGGGTGTGCGGCCGCACACCCACTCTCCAGCCGCACGCACCCTTATATATATATATATATATATATATATATATATATATATATATATATATATATATATATATATATATATATATATATATATATATATATATATAGGTTACCCCTTCACTCATTCCTTTCCTTTGGCTGCACTCTACTTTCTCTCACTACTTTCTCTCTCTAAAAACTTCATCCAAGAATACTCAAAAGGCCTAAAAAACGTGAACTACTCCATCATTCAGCTTGTTATAGTGGTAAGACACCTGAATCTAAGCCTAAAACTCATAGTGTTCTTCGTGTTCTTCATCCTTTGAATGTGTACGGCCGCACACCTTCATAAGGTGGCCGCACACACACTAAACTCTCCAAAGTGAAGAGTTTTGGCCTTGATTTACTAATAGGACTTGGTATTAGCACAAGAACACCTTGAAAACACCTCAAAATCGACATTTCGGACACAAACGAGGAGTGTACGGCCGCACATTCCTGTGTACGGCCGCACACACCCTCTGTACGGCCGCACACTCCTGTGTGCAACCGCACACGCAGCCTGGCCGCACACCCACTCAAATGGCCGTACACCTCCCTTATTTGATCATATAGGGTCCCGACAAGCCTTTCCAAGTCTTTAGGGTGGTTTCCCGTCATGTTTAGTCATGAAACACCCTAATTCTAACACACATACGTGTTATCACATGTTAATAGGATCCACTTGCGCACGAAACATCGGTTGACACTCAACACTCGTAACCAATTGTGCTTTCGGAACCTACGATAAACGGTGAGTTCATACCCCTATACTTTTCCGAGTTTTTCATGTTTTCAGGGGGAATACAAGCAAAAGTATAAGGAAACTTGTGCTCAAATATTATATTTTGTTTAAAATAATTACATGTTCAGTATGCTTTCAAACACAGAAAACCGTTTTACCACTCGATTTAGAAATCAATTCGTAGAAACAGTTTTCAAATCTAAAGCAAGGAACTTGTGAACCTTATTATAATAAGTATTATTTCATAAAGGATTCACGCAAATCATAAACAGGATTTTCAATATGTTTACTTGTAAGTTCGTTAGGCTAAGTTTGAGACATGTCCTCGGTAACACTCCCCCGGATTCGTGAGTGGAGGACTACGACTTATAACCAGAATCTCTTGGAGGTAGAGCGTGACTATTGTGTATAGATCTATATGGGACTGACTATCCCATACCCTCGCTGCTAGCTACAGCGGAACCATTTGGTTCAAGGGTGACAAAGTCATAAAAGATACTGGCCCATTTACGTGCCTTATCCAGTCTCAGTATGGTTATGGCACTCACAACTTAGGTAACGAGAATTTACTACTCCTCTGGGTGTAACCAGAGCTTCGAAAATACGGCCAATGTACTCCTCTGGGTGTAACCAGAGCTTCGAAAATACGGCCAATGTACTCCTCTGGGTGTAACCAGAGCTTCGAAAATACGGCTAATATACTCCTCTGGGTGTAACCAGAGCTTCGAAAAGAAAATTGTTGTCCGAGTATGGTAGATACTCGCGTATGGATAATCAACTATCAACCTCTTTCATAAGAAAATACGGGATTTTCTGGGATAACTTAATCTTTCATAAACAGTCTGTTTAATGTGTAACTAATGGATAATCAAACCTCTTTCATGAGAAAATATGGGATTTTCTTCGGAAACAACTTTTCAAAGAATCAAGGAAACATTTCTTTCACCAGAATTAACCGCTTATGAACTCACCAGCTTTATGCTGATATTTTAAAACTGCTTGTATTCTCAGGGCATCAATAGACAGGTACTCTTGTCAACTTTTGGAGAAGACGGAACATTCTGAAGTCACGTCTTTTACTTTTGCTATATACCGTTATGTACAATCATGTTTTTTTTAACAATGTAAATATTTATATTATAATGTAATGGTTGTGTTTACTTCGCTTACTATGATACAACTGTTGTGATACTACGCATGACGTCCTCCGCCCCGGAACGTTTCCGCCATTGGTTTCGGGGTGTGACATTCATGTAAGCCCTAATACCCATGACCTTTCATTTCCATAGGATCCATGGGTTAAATACTCAATGGACTATCCATGAAAGCTTAGCCCAACCTAAATGAACTTGGCCCATCCTATATATATATAAGAGTCCATATTTAATTAGTTCCTTTTGATCACTAAATTAATTCTAAATTAATTCTTGATCAATACTAATTAAATAATATGATTCCATATTAATATATTAGAACTTATAATATATTAATATAAATCATAAGTATCCTTTTTCTCATTTTGCCTATCCAATTGTTCCGATGCCATGCAACCCAAATCGACCATGCCAAGTCGGGTCAAGTACATATCAATTATAGTTATGGACTTAGACACTAATCCAACAGTCTCCCACTTGGATAAGTTTAAAACTATTATTGCGTATGACTCCAAAACCCGACTAGCAATCGTAGCTCTTAAAGTCGTTGTCGAACTCTGACCTAGTCAATGACTTGTCCATTAGATAAGGTATCATATATTCATCCATTCTAGATAGCATATGGACTGAGACATGGATTGTAATCATTCTCTCTGTCCATTTGTTGTTTCCCGATTTCCGATTTATGACGACCGACTAATTGAACAAATCAAATCAGTCCAAGCTTGGCCAAGCACTTAGAGGTGTCATCACTAAATCATCGAGGGGCCCACATATATCGCTTTTATCCCATCAAGGGTAAAAGTAATGGATAAACTTCGACTCATATGCTTGTTCTACTACTTGTTGAATCATACACAAAGGTACGTTTTATAACATCGAGTTACCAATGCGTTTTCGTACAATCAATGTATAACCAACTCATAGTCAACAACTCATATCTCTAGGTTTGAAGAATATAAGATATTATCGTCTCATGATCACTCGTGATAAAATCCATGAAGTGATTCAAATGAGCGTGGGTTTAATCCAATACTCAGAACTTATGAGCACTCATGAATGTTGTTGCAACTCTTGCTATGTCCAATACCTTAGACATCTACAAACCAACTTCATGACAGTCTTGCCTTAATACCTACTTCCAATGTATTATCGACTGTGGATGGTTTGAAAAACTTAGTCATTCAGGAAGAATGACCTAGTTATTCTGGAAGTCAAAACATGCAAAGTGAAACACAAGAATAATCGAATCCAATATGGTCTCAGAACTTATGAATATAAATAGAACACATTTTATTTATCACCATATTGATTACACATTATTCATTGTATAATGTTTCAAATTTTCCAACTTAATTCTTGAATTAAAACAATAGTTGTCCCATGCTCCAAGCATGTACACTATGTTTTCTCAACACTAGTCATGCCATACACCAAGTATGCACACTATGTTTGTCTATGATCTTTACTTTATGGAATAGATCGATTGAACATAATTCCAATGATTCTCATTTCACAATCCCAAATCCTTACCGTAAATGTAAGAATTCTAAATTCCTACCATTTACCGAAATATGTTAGATTCTAAACTTATACGCATTGATCCTCTTGTAATGACTATGCACAAAAGTCACAAAGACTTGTCATCAGACATTACAGAGTATTCCAATGGAGATCAATTCCATGGAAACGAAGTCTCAAAGTCAAAGTACATTGCTTTGAACATCCTTCTTGCATTAAGTTTCCTAATCTTACACAGATCTAATGAATAACTTCCACCTATGGGACATTTCCATATTCCCATTTTGACTATCACTTCTGAACAAGAGTTGCCTCTTTTCAGAATATGTCAATATGGTCCTCTCCAAAAATTTACACCATACTTCCAACTGTTCCTGAGCAACCAATCTTTGGTAAACCTTAGATTATCCTCGACAATTGCTTAATCACTTTAGTCACATCCAGTTCTAGTACTTTTTCCCTCTTAATGCCATAGGAATTTGGAAAAATTTAGAACAGATGAATATTATAGCACATGCAATCGATCCTATATCCGAAGCATATGGGACACGATTCATGATGTCTCACATAAAGACATGATACTAGACCAGTCTTTTGCTATAATATTTCTATTTCTATTTGTCATGTTCTCATAATTCAGATTATGAAAAGGGATGTCGTAATCACAATCGAATTTTAGAACGCAAATAATGTTCCCATATATAGAATTTCCTTATGTTGAACCATTCCAACATAACATTCATATATATACTTGACTAAATTTGATTAAAATCTCACGATCTAAGCTTTTAGATTTTAAATGAAGTATAATTTCATCTCCCTTAATTATAGCAAAACAACTTTTTCCCAATTGAAACTTTTGTTTTCTATAATTAACATTGCTAACTT